GAGAGAGAGAGAGAGAGAGAGAGAGAGAGAGAGCATGCAATGCTACATTGTAGTGCCTATACAACGATAGACAGACACAATTACAAGTGCGATGATATAACACAATACAAAAGATAGGCCCTATATCGGGACCAGCAACTGACCAGTTGTGCTTCTTAAAGGGGGGGGGGAGGGGTACACCTGAAGGCTATCTCGCTTATTACTGGACCGAATTTTACCAAATTTCACACATATAACAAGCATAGTAATGAGTCTTAAAATACGCAAATTTGAAAAAAAGTTTCGTTTCCATGGATACGGCGGATTTTGTTGACATGTCTTACGTAATGAATACCGCACTTATTGCTCACGGATATTGATTTTTTAATTTTTTTTTGCATGCGTGTTCACAAACATTAGATCTAACAATTTGTCTGTTGTTTTTTTCCTAAACGAATTTGAAAATTTTTAATGAATTTTTTCCTGAGGTAACATTCAAGTTTGCAAAAAGTTCGTGAAAACCCACACTTCAGACACCACCAACAAAAATCTATTCCATATATAAAAAATTCAACAGAGAAATGTTTAGTATTACATCTTCTCCTCATTCTGTGAAAATTTCATGAAGATTGGAAGAAAAATGGTAGAGTTATTCAAAAAAATATAGAGAAAAGTCGCGTTTTGAGAAAACGGCCGATAAAGAAAATTAAAACACTGACTTTATGAAGAAATGGCAGTGACAAACATGCCCGGTATGGGAAAAAAATACGGTTTTGGAGGGGTTCTTATGCGATGAAATAGTTATAGGGGAGGCTTAGGAAGCTAAAAATGCATACAACTCAAATTCCGTAATTTTGAGCCGAATTTTCACTTTGGGGGTGTAGCTTTAGGAAAAATATAATAAATCATTATAATCTAAGGGAGATGATTCTTGGTATTGGTAAACAGCTTGTCACATACACAGTAGCCTCCCGTGATTATGCCGACCTGATCAGATGATGTTGAGTCAAGGAGATTAAAAGTAGATCTAGTTTTAAACTCCTTGTGTTGAGTTCGGTTTCCTTTGTTTCCGTTATTTAAAAAAAAAAAATTCATATTATTTTTATTGTTTTAATGCCACTTTGAAATCACATGGATGGTGTAGGAAAATAGTCAGCATTTCTATCCATGTTTCCCCCCCCTTTAATTTCGGGTTAGGTAGGATGGGTGGGGATTATTGCCTGGATTTTTTTCTGACGAGTTATGAAAGAAGAATAATGGCTTTGTATATGCGTGCGCTCGCGTGCATGCGTGTGTGTGTGTATGTTTGTGTGTATGTGTGTGTGTATGTATGTGTGTGTGTGTGTGTGTGTGTGTGTGTGTGTGTGTGTGTGTGTGTGTGTGCAGGGGCGAAGGCTGACTTGTTTGACAGGGTAATCAAAGTGAAACGGGACCAGATATAGATCTATATGGCCTGTAGATATCACACAAGAATCTTACTCGAGGCGGCAACTCTGACTGAGTTGTAAATGAAAACAAATCCGGAATCCATATTGTATGTTCAACCGCCAAAATAATCGGGAAAGTATCTTATTAAATATCAGATCCAACTAAAATTAAATTAACTTTAGATGTGAATACATAAACACAAAGCAAAGAAGCAGAGATGTCAGTACTAGATCTATATGTTATAGATCTACCAGAGAGTCTAACTCTTTGGTAGAACATGACAATTATCATTTTTTAAATTTCACATTTGGCTGTTTTTGTTAGCCTTTCGCGGCCAGGAGCTGGTGTCATAATCGAGGTCACGATCTGATTATAGGACAGTAAAAAGTCGAAGAAAAAAAACAAGCACATGCAGCAGTAAAGAGATTGTTAGGAGTTAGTTCCCCTCACATTTGTGAGGTAGACTCGACCAGTGTTCGTTAGCTTACTTAATCAGGGCTTGGGATTGATTATAACTGTGGCCCCAAAGGGGTGAACAGGGTATATGTGGCAATGAAACAGCCATGACTGCTATGCACATGTTCCCTCAACTGTATTGGTAGACTCTAAGCTTACTTAATTAAAGCTTGCGACTGCTTATGGAGTGGCCCGAGAGGGGTGAGGGGGCTATTTATGTGGCCGTGAAACCGTTTTGAATGTTAGGCATACTCATTGTGGATTACGAACCTCTTTTTACTTTTAATTTAAGAGGTTTACGATTAAGGATGAATTTGACAGCGACAATGTTTCAAAATTAGGAAGGGAAGCAGTGATTATTTGATTATATAGACGCTTCGCCCATGATGTGTGTGTGTGTGTGTGTGTGTGTGTGTGTGTGTGTGTGTGTGTGTGTGTGTGTGTGTGTGTGTGTGTGTGTGTGTGTGTGTGTGTGTGTGTGTGTGTGTGTGTTGCGTGAGGGGGGGGGGAGGGTGTTGTCAGGAGTTAGTACCGGTAAGTTACCAGTTGGTGAATAAGTGCTTTCACTGTTGTTACGGCACCTTCTTAAAACCAAGTATTGAAAACTCTGTTTACAGCCAGGAAATGGAATGCTGTTCTAATGCTTACAAGAAGATACACCCTCTAAATGATGAATATTACTTTTTTTATGTTGAGTTTTGAATTGGTGGAATTGTTGAAAAAAGAAAAACATTGAGATTATAATGAATGAGAGCTACAGGCCTTCAGCGCCAAGTAAAACAAAGTAGCCTTGTTGGTACATGTATTACAAAATATATTATTAACCTTGCGACAGTTGAAAAACATGATCTCTGTATTAGTTGATAACTTATGATTTTGCGGATCAAAGGGAAGAACACTCTAGTGTTTGCTTGTTTGAGTAAAGAGAAGCACGGGGCTCTTGTGGCCTAGAGGTTAAGGTGTTGGCCTCTCATTCAAAGGTCCCGGGTTCGAATCCGGGTGGCGACCGAAAAATTTTCTTCTCTAAAATTGTCTCCTTTCACCTCCTTTCCTGCTCTCTAGCAATATTCTGTTGTCTGCTTTCGTTTCCTCTTTCTGCCCCCACCCCCTCACCTCCTTTGCCCCCTCCTCTGGGCTCCTGACTCTTTCTGCAGCTTTTCTACTGTTACTCATTGACTCCTTCTTACAGCTGTCTTTCTGCCACACCCCTGATCTTCTGGTAGGAAAGATCTACACCTAGCCTTCTCGGACAAGGGCGAAAAATCTCGGAGGGCTCGTGTGCAAGTTGCGCGCGTTTAAGGAAAAAGTAAGACGACATATAAAAGCAAGTCAGGTTAAAAAAAATAATACAATCGCGTTCAATATTTTGAAATGCATGTTATGTGTACATTGTATTATGGGGGAAATTTAAATCAGATGTTTTCCGGCGGCCACCAGGTAGGCCCCTTTTCTTTCTTTTTTTTAATCGGTTGTTTCTGTCTGTCTGTCTACCTTACTTTTACCTTGTACTAAATATCCTATATTGTGTCAACAAGCTTCTTGTTACTCGAAAGGAATTTTTTAATTAGATGAACTTGAAAAGTGCTAAAATTCAGATCATTCATCGACTGGCACTTTTAATTTGAAACACAAAGTTTTCTGTTGTTTGTTTGTTTTTCTTAATTAACCTAGGCTTTGTCTACTGCTGTTCATTACGATTCAGCCTAATCCAAGAGACTTTTTGCTCAGTAAAATCGTAAAATTAATAAAGATTAAATACAGTGTACACTGTGCTCTGCATAGGCTACGTGTTTTCTTTGGTGAATATGAAAAAAGGCGGAGTAATAGAGTCAGCTGATGGAAACCTTCTTTTTTCTAGAGTAATGTCCCCTGGACCTACCGGAAACAAAACACGTCAACACATCGTTCAATGTTCTTGTTGGCCAATGCACATTTCTCTCAGTAATTGAATCGTAGATGTGATCTAAATTGTCCTTTAACCCATGTCTTGATCTGGAATTTAGATATAATCTTTTGATACGAACCCTGTGCCGTGTAACATCTGTATTCCATATATGGACCTTGAAAACAAGATGATATTCGAGAGAGTAAAAGATCTCGACTATTCTAGACTATCTAAGACTAAGTAAGAGCCTTGGACTTGGTATGGTGATGGTATCTTAGTTTAGTTTCTCTGTCAAAATAATTTGGACCTCATCACGTTCACGCCCTGCTGACCTGAATAGTGGATGTTGACGCGGCTAATGTTATCATTTATAACTAGATCTAGATAGACTTATCACTATTATTGTCCCAGTATTCTATATCTAACCTAGAGTCTAGCTTATTCACAAGAGTAAATAGTGCTGTGGTGGTCTCGCAGCTCAATCCTCTGTTGTTGTGTCCACATAACATTGTGTGTCAAGTTGGCTTCCCAAAAATGTAGCCTAATTTAAATGTCAAAATCTTGACACATTCACCGTCAGTGTGAGCCACCTCTTCCACTTGGTAGATCTAACTGATTTGCTTCTGAATCGTTGATTGTTCAAGATCCCACCAAGTGAACAAAGCCAAAGCAAAACCGTGAGTATACAATCAATCAATCATATTTTTTTTTTTTTTCCAGTGATATTTAATAATGATGTCATGTATCTACTTTGACTTTGTTCGATGGCAATTGTAAAGATTGGGGATCTACGCAAGCCAAGATGTGATCTCCTTAAAATTAAAATCGAAATAGATCTAGATGATTGACTTGGAAGAACTTGATACTAGATCTAGATATAGATCTAGATCTAGATCTAGATTCTAGACGAACTTTAAAACTTTCAATAGTCTGAAAAATGATTACAAAAATCAGTAAAGTATTTATTTGAGTTTTATAAATGAAAGGTGTATCCATTCTTGGTCATACTAGAATGTGAAAAGACACAAATAGACATGTCGAAAAGATACGATACCAGTCCAAATAACCTAATTGGGAGGGTGTCCTGATGACTTTATGATGCAGTTGCGAGCGCAGTTGCCCAAGTGTCAATTTGTTCTAATTTCATTGGACGAACATCTAGAGCTACCAACTTTGGGTGTTTGGAATGAGACATATGCCTCGGTTACGAACCAACGTTGGCGGTTCTAGAAGTAGGCCACAAACGCACACAAACTCAAGCAGACTGACGCACTCACACTTGAGCTGCGGGAACACAGGACCCGGTCATCACGCGGATGATGCTCGGTGCGCGTGCACCGAGTCAGGGCCAGACTGACTCGGGACGGGACGGAAGGCGAGGTGCCGAAATACACTTCGGGGAACATAGACCCAGCTCTTGCAGGACCAGGGTTACAATGTAATTTTCCACTTGTCACTGTGGTACCCAGCACCATAAAGTAAAGAAAGTTCATATCACACTAATTACATAATTAATAATATTTTGCTATAATAATTGTGAGGCGACAAAAGAGAAAATGAAACATCCAAAGGACGTCATGCACCGATCTGGCATTCATCCGGAAGTCTCGGGTGTTCATCATGGCAGAATATAAAAATTTGTAGGGACTGTAGATGGTAAGGATTGTACCCCAATTTTGATCAAAATAACCCTGAAAATAAGTCATGACGTCTGAAAGGACACTAATCAGATGTCTTTTCGTATCTTTTTCGTGTCTTTTCACGTCTTTTCGCATAATTTTAGTATGACCCTCCAATCTAATTCTTTGACTGAAACCCCACCCCTCCCACCAATAAAGACAACTCAACAAAACTCACCCAGTTATGAACAGTGTAGCTGATCAGGTATGACTCCCCCCCGCCATCGTGATTTGTGATTGTCACGACAATGCATTTTTGATGTGTGCAAGTGTGTGACAGAATGACCGTCTCCATCCAAACTTGTGGATTTGGGGTGTGACAAGTTGACTGTGATGTCTTGACTGCACTGGTTGGACCAAATGACCGTGTGACGAAATGACTGGTACTCAGCTTTCAATTTAATATCCATTTCCATGGACCTGTTTTGTGTTTTCTACCCTCATCTGTGTTTTCCTAAATCACTTGATTTTATCGTAGTTCAGAACAATGTAAATTTAAAAGAGCAATGATGCCATAATTACATGAACAGTATCATCTTTTTTTCAATGGCAACCAAATGTCTTGAGCATCTTCCCCTCCCCTCCCCTGCCACTTCTCTCTCTCT